CGGGAGGTAAGCATGGGAGGTGTCGAGGGAGCTAGAAAGCAGGAGGTCTTGGGAGGAGAAAAGTAATTTCTTTGATGTCCATGTGCTCATCTGTCTTGCATGCGTTGAGGAATTGGGAAAAAAAAATCAGATTCTCTGTATGGCCACACCACTTTCTTAGCATGTCATGCATTTAGCAGTGGGGGCGAGCACTGACGCATATAGCCTCCCACCAACTCTCTTCTAGTTGTGTGGTTTAGAGGGTCTACATTGGGGGTTTCCTGATACCATTTTTTCAAGACCAAGTACAAGTACTTTCCCTCAGGTACTCGCCGATACCAATTACCGATACTTTTTCTTACAGGGAGTGTGACATTTTTTTCTAAAACAATACAGACTAATGATTGTAGGGCAGTTTCTTTATAATTATGAAGAACTGTAACTCATGATTATTCAGCAATGGAGAATGGCAACCGGCTATAGAGGGCTACAAATAATTGATTATACAGCAATGGAGAATGGCAACCGGCTATAGAGGGCTACAAATAATTGATTATACAGCAATGGAGAATGGCAACCGGCTATAGAGGGCTACAAATAATTGATTATACAGCAATGGAGAATGGCAACCGGCTATAGAGGGCTACAAATAATTGATTATACAGCAATGGAGAATGGCAACCGGCTATAGAGGGCTACAAATAATTGATTATACAGCAATGGAGAATGGCAACCGGCTATAGAGGGCTACAAATAATTGATTATACAGCAATGGAGAATGGCAACCGGCTATAGAGGGCTACAAATAATTGATTATACAGCAATGGAGAATGGCAACCGGCTATAGAGGGCTACAAATAATTGATTATACAGCAATGGAGAATGGCAACCGGCTATAGAGGGCTACAAATAATTGATTATACAGCAATGGAGAATGGCAACCGGCTATAGAGGGCTACAAATAATTGATTATACAGCAATGGAGAATGGCAACCAGCAATAGAGGACTACAGATCCCATCAATCCATGATCAAACAGCAATTATGCAGGGCTGCTTTTGGGTCTCACCAGGGCTGCGTGCAGATCTCACTAGGGCTGCATTTGGGTCTCTCCAGGGCTCTGGAGGTGGGTGCCGGTCTGACCAGGTGAGATCTGGGCTCCGGGGCTGTACAGGCAGGTGTGGGGTCGTCCTGTGCTTTGCCTGCTCCGGGAAGTAGGAGGAGGCAATATATGGCCGGAACGGCACTGTCAAAGACATCTGCCTGAGGTCCCTAGCAAGCGCGGGACCTCAGTCAGCCGAGCTTGTTAAAAAATTTAAAGGGCCGCTATCGGCCTTTGGAATCGGCATTTTCGCGAGAACATGAAAATGTCCTGTATCGGTATTGGGACATCCCTAGTCTGCATTTATCAATTGCTTCACAGAATAAACCTCATTAGGTATGACATGCTTTGTGTAAGAAAAACAAAGAAATGTACAAATATGTGATGGCCACCCATTGAAGGACATTATGGTCAGCCCGGTGCCATTGGCACTGGAGTTGCCCAGGTTTTTTCCTCACCTTGCACTGTGTTGCTTTTACTGTTGCACTGTTACCAGCAGATAAGTTAGGTAGTACTTGGCAAATCCTTCTACTCTTCGGTGACTACCAAATGATTCTATTCTGAAGGAACGCTCTTTATCTTTGGTTTGTTAGCCTTTATTGAAAAGAACTTTGGCCACGGTTTTGGTTTGTTCTCTCATTATTTTTGTTCGTCTTCATGGTACTCCAATTTATATATCACATTATAGAATGAATCAGATAATTATTATTTATTTATTACAGGTATTTATATAGCGCCGACAATTTACGCAGCACTTTACATAGTTGCACATTCACATCAGTCCCTACCCTCAAGGAGCTTACAATCTAAGGTCCCTATGTCACATCCATACATACAAGGGCCAATTTAGAGAGGAGCCGATTAACCTTCCAGCAAACCCACACAAGCAAGGAGGAAACCCACACAAGCAAAGGGAGAACATGCGATCTCCTTGCAGATAGTGACCTGGCGGGGATTCAAACCGGGGACCCCCCAGTGCTGCAAGGCAGAAGCGCTAACCACTACATTTATAAGTAATGTTCATTGAAGGAAACCTGTGCTGAGGGAAATATGCAGGCTGCCATTACTGTCCTTCTGAAAATGCTAGTTGCTGTTATTCTGATCTACTCAGAGGAAGCGACTCAAAGTAATAAAGACAGAGACAGCCAGACACGTAGTATTTTTAGATGGAGGTGGGCAATGGCAGGCCTACAAATTTCTTCCGGTTGGTATGCCTTTTTTCCAGCCTAGGTATATTTATCTGTATAATCAGCTAACCAGCTCCAATCCAGGAGTGTCTCCCATGTAGAGATTACAGTTTGTAAGCTTCTTTGGTGGCAGAGGCTCTGCAGACTCTGTTAAAGGATGCAGGATTTGTCAGCTTAATATAAACTAGAAGAAGTGTGCCGGTTCATGAACGACGTGAAGGAGATGTGATGAAACAAGCATTGTGAAATAAATTATTATTATGCTCCAAAATATTTTCTTACCTTTTAAAAACCCTGCTTATACCGGTCTCTTCTGAGTAGCAGCTTCTGCTGGTTTTTGGCCTTCCAGGTCATCTCAATCCAGGTCATGGACATCAATGCCTTGCACCACATGTCACATGCAACGGGGCTCCTGGCTGTAGGGAAGGCTGGCAAAGTAGAAATATGGGTGGGATGTTAGGGAGGAGGGGTGGAGCTTTGAGGGAGTAGTGAAAAAACCGTGTACTAGATTCTGAGCACAGTGCTTCTCCATGTATGACTACAATGGGATGTATTAGAAATGCGGATTGAAATGTGGACACAGGCATACAGGAAATGAATGTGCATGTAGTTCTCATCTATTCAAGGGTTTTTGGGGGGTCTGAGTTGAAAACAGAAATCTAAAGATACAGGATGAGAGATGTTAAAATTGCATTCTGAAACAAATATTTTTTGTTTTAGGACTGTCTAGGCCAGGAGCCAGCAGGTTTTTTTTTAGGAGCCAGCTCCATTGACGACAACTAGAGAGAATCTCAAACGTTAGGCACCAATTTTTTTTTAAATCGCTTATAAATAGTTTTTTATTAAAGGTTTTCATATACAATACTAAAAAAAACAAGGGTACATGTGATGAAGATTGCTCTCCTACAAGTAGCACTGTTGTGACATTGCCAAATCTCCTGAAACGAGCAGTCAGAGGCAGCAGTGCCTTAGATCTCACACTGCAGATATCCAGTTAGGGCCATAGACACAGCAGAGCCTAGGCACACTAATATACTGGGAAGTGCACTGATTTTTTTGCAAAAGGAATTCAATATAAAGTGTATTTTTTTTCTGACTACTACATAGGCCACAATGAGCATTTTCTAGATATTCATTATAGCATACCAAACCTTCACTTTTTAAATTCAGGTTCACTTTAATATATAGGATACCGAGGATAAAACCGATTACATGCAAATAATATGTTCAGTTTCCCTTTGCTCAACTTTTGCTTCTGTCCTAATCTTTTCTTTAGGAATTTAAAGAAGCCCTTCTTCCTCCATCCATGGGTAAGAGGAGAGGCAGATAAACAATGTGATGGCTACTGTGTAGAACAGCGGTCGCCAACTGATGGTCCGTGAGAAAATTTTGGTGGTCCGCAGAAAAATCTGGACATTATTTGCATTTTTTATGTTTTATTATTAAATAAAACAAAAATAATATTCTAAGAAATTCTTATATTCTGAATGACAATTTTCACCTTTTTATATTGCACTAAATTCACAAACTGTACGAGAGAGGGGGGAACAAGAGAGGCGCATCAGGGTGACATCAGGGTAGTCTTAAGTTGTACGAGGCAACCGTTGCAGAGCCGTACGCTTCTGTATTGTTTTGAGCAGGGGCGGACTGGGCCGGGGACCCCTCTGATGCCGTGCAGGCTGGGCCGTCATTGAACTGGCACGGAGGCCCTGGGGCTGCCTCTCACTGACTCAAGCAGCGTCTGTCACAAGGAATGCGCGGCTCTCAGTACAGGCAGCACAGGCTGCCAGTGATCTGAGAAGCGTCGTGTTCCTCAACATAGCCGTAAAGCATTTACCATTTTGTTATAATTAAATAGGTGCATATTAATAAAATGGATGTTCTCTGATCATAATCTTACAAATGTATTTATCTTTTTAAACAATTCATATTAGCGGTCTGCGGGATTTAAAATGAGGAATTTAGTGGTCCGTGAGGTCCGAAAGTTTGGCGACCGCTGATGTAGAAGACCCAAAGGTCCAGTGTCTGACTGCTGGCAGTATAGTGATGGCTATACTATCGGTACTCAGAGAGAGCTCCAGGAAGTGATGTACGCCTCCTTGCACTTTAACTTCTATACCAGCAGATTTTAAATACTTTTATTTTTTTTCCTGGAGTCCTTCTTCTTTAACAAATGGTATCATTCATGTGTGGTAATGCCCTTTGCACCATGTGTTATGCAATACCCGTTGTTGTCCAACTTCCCAGCTGAGGGTACTTTGTATTTGGTTGCTCGCACATAAAATATATTAATCTTCAGCTCCTAAAATTTCTTCTTGAATAAGATTAATGTAGGTTGTTTACACAAATTCCACTAAGGAAAGTGGTGCAGAATGAAATAGAGAGGCTGCCATAACTGGCCTCCTTCTGAAAATGCCAGCTGCCTGGCAGTAGTACTGATCCTCTGAATTCTTTACATTCTGAGCCCTCAACATGGAGCCAGCATGCAGCAGATACAGTGAGACCTCCTGATCTGCATACTTGTTCCAGATCAGTGCCTCAGAAGGAACTGAAGTTATTAGCTCAGCATCACAGCCAGGTAAACTGAATTTTTAGAAGGGGAGATTGGTAATGGCAGCCTCTAATGGCAGCCTCTGTGTTTCTCAACACTCATTGGATTTATAAGATTTTCTGCTCTATGGTACATCTCTTTGTAGTGAAACGATATGTGTCTCACCAATGTTATTTTTTCAGGACAGTACGTGTTTGGATGAAGAGAGACAGTGGTCAGTTCTGGCCTAGTATATTTCATGCCATGCCAGGTAAGTTGTTGGCTACAAGTGATATCAATAAACCTATTGTGCAGGACTTGTCTGCTCCAGATGTGTTTTTTTAGTGCAAGCGTTAACAATGGAAATGCATTGTTTTCAGTAGATTTCTACCTATGTTTTGTATAGCAATACTTTGGGGGGGAAAAGTACAACACATTGCCTTTGGATATGCTGAACTAGGGGGTGGCCCATAACAACCAGCAAATGGGAACAATTAAAATACTGTTAGGTCTTATGACCCTTTCTATCCTATATGTTGTATATTTTTTCTTCCCCAGCCAAATCACTCTTCCAGGACACACATTGTTCTTTCCCTTTGTAAGATCACACCTCCAGCAGACATATATTGGTCTGTCCCTTGTATCCTTCCTACAGTGCACACTCACATTGGTCTTTCCCTCTTTTCGCATACACATTGGTCTTTCCCCCATGTCCCTCCTCTCGCATTCACATTGGTCTTTCCCCAGTTAGATCCCACCTCCAGCACACACATTGGTCTTTACCGTGTATCCCTCCTCCATCACCCATACACATTGGTCTTTCCCCAGTTAGATCCCACTCCCAGCACACACATTGGTCTTTACCCTCTTTCCCTCCTCCAGCACCATAAACATTGGTCTTTCCCCAGTGAGATCCCACCTCCAGCACACACATTGGTCTTTACCCTGTTTCCCTCCTCCAGCACCATAAACATTGGTCTTTCCCCAGTTAGATCCCACTCCCAGCACACACATTGGTCTTTACCCTGTTTCCCTCCTCCAGCACCATAAACATTGATCTTTCCCCAGTGAGATCCCACCTCCAGCACACACATTGGTCTTTACCCTGTATCCCTCATTCAGCACACTCATTGGTTGTTCCCCTCTATTCCACCTCCAGCGCACACACATTTGTCTTTCCCCTGCATCCCTTCCCTAGCACACAATTTTTCATGTTTCTCCTCCAGAGACTCCTCAGTCTGCAGTCACACACTCCCACCACACAAACTGTACATTGAACACTGTCTATGTCCTACCCAGATACATTGCACACTGAGCTCACACATTAGTCTGGAGGTTTAGCACTGAGTGAAAACTCAGTTCAGCAGCAATCTTCAACCTTCTTCCCTTCTGCAGAAGTAAATGTTTAATTCCTGTCGTGCAGAATGGTTTTGTGTGTCTTAGGACACACATTGGTCTCTCTCCTGTATCCTGCCCCCAGCAAATGCACTTCACTTCCCAGCATCTGTACCAGCTATAATGTGCCTCCTCCAGTACACACGGCTCTCTAGCCAGGCTTACAGCTGCAAAGTATGAGCATCAATCCATGTGTGACCAGTCTGCGGTGTATGTGCATTAACCTGATCAGCTGCTACAGAAGTGTTAACCCCTCAGTCCCTCCTCTTATAAGTGTTAACCGCTCAGTGACTTGTCTGCAGTATATGCGGTCTGCTTTAGGGTGTTGGCAGTATCTATTACAACCTTTATGGTGCTAACAGCACTCCACGTTTATATCTTTCAGGTCCATGTTCATGTATGTCTTTTAATCCAGAAACCCGGAGGCTGTCCATAGGTCTGGACAATGGTACTATATCAGTAAGTACAAAATAAGTTGTACTTCTCTGTTACATCACCTGCATTCGAATTAAAGCTATTCTAGTAAAGTGGTAAGGCATCTAGAGACGCTAGTCTTTGTACATGTTGCACCTCATACCATATTTTGCCACTAATTACTATTTTCTAAGCAATATCCATATTCAGTCATTAAATTATAAGCATTTTGTCTCTTAGATTCCATATATTAGGCATGAGAAACCTTCCAATTATGATGTCATGCTTTATGTTGGGCAGGGGTAGGCAACCTTGGCACTCCAGCTGTGATAAAACTCCCATGAGGCATTGCAAGACTCTGACAGCCACAGGCATGACTCCTAGAGTCGGAGGCATGATGGGATTTTTAGTTTCACCACAGCTGAAGTGCCAAGATTGTCTACCCCTGATCTAGGCTCTAGTAGCCAATCAGTAGGCCTGAGCAATGTCACCTGATGGGAGTGATGTCACCGCCCCTTTTTTTCCAGGTACCCAACACCATTAATTTTATTTTTATTTTAGGACAGATAGGCCTTTTATTTGATAGTACATTTTAATGTATAATATTTTGATTTCCTTGGTTTGTCTTGGCAATAAAAAAATAAGACAAAAATAATACATACATTTAGCCCAAAATATAATCAACAATGTCTACTGATGAAAATTATGTCGTAATATGTACCATAGAGGTATAGTAAAGGTCAAAGTTGAAAGTATGCATTTTACTTTAGAAGAGCTTTATTCCCCTTCTGATGCTACATTGTATCGCATGAAGGGTGGAAAAAATGGTTCTTGTAAACGGTCAGTAACATTGAGGCCCGGTTCACACCTGGGCGTTTTGTAGTGCGTTCCTACGCTCTGCAAAACGCTCAAACACCGAAATCCCATTATTTCCTATGGGTATGGTTCACACCTGGGCGTATTACAGGCCGTATGAACGCGCACATAACGTCCTACGCCCAAAGAAGTACAGGAGCTTCTTTGGGGCGTTTTTGTCGCGCGTTTCCATTGGGATACAGACAAGTAGCGCGTTTTTTTTACCGTGAATCGCGTGACACGAAAAGCGCGACAAACGCGCATATTCGATACGCCTAGGTGTGAACCCAGCCTAAGAGATGATGTCATGCAATCAGCCAGCAATAGATCACTATAGCAGTGATCTGTTGCCGCAGGGAGGTGCTGCACGGAGCTGTAACAGCTCTTTCCCAGCCTTCATACACACTTGTTACATCACTACAATCCCGATGTAAACAGTATGTGGAAAAACAGTGTTTACATTCACTTCTACAGCGCATTACTATGGAGTGATGTGTAGAACTCTGTAAAACTAAGACTCCAGCCAAACATTTTGAAAAGAGTGGAGGAGGGTTTAGTAATTTGTCATGTATTTTACAGGCCTCCTTTTACCTAATTAGGGACATTTCCTCTTCTTTCCTTTTTCAGTAACAACTTTTTATAGTGTGACACAAAGCTTGTCAGGACAGGAAGTGAGGGTAGATCAGCCTATCCGGGACACATGCAGCAATAAAAACGTACCCCTCCCATTCATTAACAAATGCTAAAAAAAATGATCTGAAGCTGGATTTGCCTTCTAAAGCTTGACAGCCCTTCATTTCCATTTCTGTACCATTTGCAAATATATTACCTATCGCAGCTCCAGGACCGGCCACAATCGTGTTTGCCATCAGGGAGACATTGTAGGTTTTTTCCCTAACAAATTATTTGCTTCTGCTTTTTTTTGCTAAAACAATGGTGTTTGACCTCCATGGTTCACCACTTCCACGTAGCTGCCAGTTGTTAAAGAACAACTACAGCCAAAGCACACATCTCCATAAGCTTTATTTATAGCCCCTTCCTTGTGTCTGCAATTTGCATCTGGACTTACTGGCAGGAGATTCATTGATCCACATCAGGTTTTAACCTAACATAACCCTATAGACCTGCCTGTGACATAAATGGTTGTATTATGCAGACGTTGATCTTTAAAGTGACACTAAACTCAGGCATTAAATCTTAAAATACATTAAAGTACCTGAACTATTAACAAAAATGTATCTTATTTGGGTATCACTCGGCTGTAGATCCTCAAATCATCTCTGAATTGGTGCTGACACTCCTTCCTTCTGGAGGGGGGCTACTTGTTCCCCACGGTCCCCTGTGTGTGCTGTAAAGTAGTCACCACTCCAAGCTCACTCCCGTAATAAACTGCAGTCTAAATACAAATGATCTAACTAAAGGTGTATTCCATCACAGGAGTGAGTTTGAAGCAGTGACTACTTTACAACACACAGGGACCATGGGGAACAAAAGTAGCCACCCTCCAGAAGGAAGGACAGTGTCAGCACCAATTCAGAGATGATTTGAGGATCTACAGCCGAGTGATACACCAATAAGATACATTTCTGTTAATAGTTAAGGTACTTGAATGCATTTTTAAATTTGAACTCCTGAGTTTAGAGTCACTTTAGTATAGATTAGTGAATCTGTGAACATTCATGAATTGTGTCATAACCCCAGTATAACGTTTAGGGCAGCTTCATGTACATTCTTCTAGTGAACTTTACAAAGATATAAAAACACCAGTTAATACACTTGTGTATTCATACAATTCTCATAATTCATTTTTAGATGCCTGTAGTGTAAGTTCCTGAATTGTTCTTGATATCAGCCTCATGTAATTGCTTGCCCAGACTGGGAAAGGGAGGGTGTTAGGAGCTCAGACTCTTCTGCATGCACATGTGCTGACATGAGCCGAGAGTCAAGGTATTTCCTTATCAGCCTGCTGCTGCTGCTTCTTTGTCCAATCAGCAACCTGGGAGTGCTTTCATTCAGCATTTTCTAACAACTTAAAGGAGAACTATGAGGCGAGTGCTTTTCACTCACCTCATAGTTCTAGCCGACCTGTGACAATGAGACTGTCATAGGTCGGCTCAGTAGATCGGGAGGTGAGCGAACACATACCGGCGTTCGCTCAACCTCTCGATCCTGTCACGGCTCTCTGCCGTGACAGGGGAGGGGCTGGATTCCTCCCTACCCGCTCCGATCCGCCAGCGCTGACTGGCGGAACGGACAGGGGAGGGGGCGGGTACAGCTGGCTCTGCCTCTAGATAGGCAGAGCCAGCTGTCACTCACGCAGCTGGGCGGATCCCGGCACAATTGTCTGTAGCTGTAGCTCGCGGTATACTGAGCCTAGGGTGACGGGAGGATGGTAGTTTGCGGGAGGTTACCCTAAGGAGAACTATGGGGAAAAGCTGTAGCTCGCGGTATACTGAGCCTAGGGTGACGGGAGGATGCTAGTTTGCGGGAGGTCACCCTAAGGAGAACTATGGGGAAAAGCTGTAGCTCGCGGTATACTGAGCCTAGGGTGACGGGAGGACGCTAGTTACGGGAGGTTACCCTAAGGACAACTTTGGGGAAAAGCCTTAGCCCCATAGTTCTCCTTTAAGCTGCTGTTGATGTTGAGAATCTAGTTGTGCTGTCTGGCAGGAATTTCTTGATCAAAACAAAGGCTGAACAGAATTTCAATCCCTTCACACATTTGTGTTTCAGCAATGTGTATAGCCATTCACCTCTGACCGCTATGACAAGCAGTGATTTCTCTTTTTTTTTTTTTTAATTATTGCACACTTGTATGAAAGTCAAAGAGCCATCATTATAGTCTATTTATTTTTTTCACAGGAAGAGTTTTTTTTTTTTTTTGATCTTTTGAATTTAAAGTTCAGTTTTAGTTCATATAATGCTTAAGAACATTATTTGTTACATGGTTCATAGAAGGGGGTTGATTTATGAAGAATTAACAGGGCCATTACCCTGGGAATATCTGTGAATGTTCGTCCTGTGTGAAATATTTGCACAAAAGAACATTATTTAGTTTTTCCCTTCACAAGTGTAATTTAAACATGAATGTTCTTATTGTAATATTGCATTATGGCCACTAGATGGCACTGATGAGCATAGAAAATACATGCTTATCTTCTATGCTCTTTTAGCACTATTTAGTGGCGGCCATAATGCAATGTTACAACCAGAACATTTAAATTTGATTACACTTGTGAAAGCAAAAAAACAAAAGAACGTTTATATGTTTATGCATATATTTTCGAAGGACAAACTTTCTACTACATATATCGGTAAAACTATAGCCGTACATATATGCAACAACACCTGAGGGTTTAATAACACTTTAAAGCAGGGGTGCCCATAAGATCGATCGCGATCTACCAGTCGATCGCAAATCTATTGCTGGTAGATCGCGTGTCGACTCCCTATCCCACGCTCCGTGTACCCGAATGTGTCAGATGCTAAAGCATCCGACACATTCGTCTCTCCCCTCCTGTCTGAAGCGGCCAACAACCTTTCCTACCGCGCGTGGCCGCCTCTACCCGCACAGACACTGAGGCACTTTGCCCACACACTCGGCCCGCCCCTCCATCTTCGTCAGCGTCCAATAATCATTGCCTCCTGCACGTAGTGGCATCGGCTGCTCCTCCCTCTCTTCAGTGTGCACGTTTGACTGGCCCCTCCCCGCCCGTAGCTTTGGACACCTCTGACCCGCTCCAGTCTGCAGCATCAAGCACGTTGGGACCACACCTGAAGAGCCAGAAGCAGGTAGGCTATTAGCTTGAGTGGGATCTGACAGTATAGTTAAGGGGCTGCACAGTTAAGACTTCTAGAGCCTCCTTCACACCATCCTCAGTGCGTTCCGGCGCTATTGTGGCCGGAATGTACCGGATCGCATTGCGGCCGGCTCAGTTTGTTGTGGGGTGGGAGGGGGTGTGGTGATGTGTTGAAGTGAATGACACCGCAGCCATGCCCTCCTGCCGCAATGCGATCTGCCGCACGGAAACGAAAGGCACATCAATGCCTGCGGTCCGGTCAGAAAAAAATAGTGCTAGCAGCATTTTTTCTGACTGGACCGGATTTCAGGCACTGATGTGCCTTGCGTTCCCGTGTGGGCGATCACATTGCGGTCGAAGGGCGTGGCTGCGATGCCATTCACTTCAACA